GGCAGGATGAGTAGCAGGATGGGCGGCAAAATGGGTGGATAGGCGGGCAGGTGTCAGTGTGTGCGGTGGTGGGCAGTAGTAAAATGGTTGGTAGTGGGCATAATGGGTGAGTGTGCAGGCAACAGAACAAGCAGGTGGCAGATGATAGACTACCATCTGCCACCCACCTCCTTGGACTAAGGAGGTGGATGGTGGGGCAGGCACAGAGTGGGTGGGTAACAGGGCATTCAGGAGACAGTGGGTGGGCAGATGTGTAGCAGTGTGGGTGGGTAGCAGAGGTGGTGGCGTGAGTGGCTGAGCTTCCGACTAGGACTAACATAAGAGCTGGTCACCCCAGGTCCCTATCCAAGAGCCCCATCCCGTACACTGGACCCTCCCCATTATCTCCATCCCCCCCATCCCGCACACTCCCTGCTACCTCCATCCCCCACACCAGACCGACCTCACTTAACCCCTCCCAGCCTATGGACAGTATTAATACAGTGGGCTTCTTTGCTACCAGCTGTTGGATCAGGAGGCAGACTCTTTTTGTTTACTGACTGACTGGTTGCAACTGTGAATGCCTGAATGACCATAAATGCCTACCTGGTTGCTACAACAACTTTGAATGCTTGACTGCCTGTTAATGCTTGCCTGACTGTGACTTGTTGTGACTGGAAATGCCTAACTGGTTGTTACCGCAACTGTGAATGCTTGACTGCCTATGACTGGTCTTGACTGTGAATGCTTGCCTGACATGTTGTGACTGGCTACCACATACCAGAGGCAGTGAAATGTGTGAAAGGAAAATCTGGAACCAGTGATGCCAATATGAAAGTGTTTAACACGAGCAGGGAATGGTCTAACCACCACCTCCCTCCTCACCCTCTCCATACACCAACACTGCTCCTTCCTCCATCCTCACCGTCTACCATACGCCAACAAGAGTCCTCAGTAAAGTGCAGTTAAATGTTCACTTATTTTATTTATGGTTTATATTTATATGTGATTGTTTTGTGTATGAAAAATGAGTAAGATTTTGTATAAAATGTATTTTTAAGTTAATATTTTTTGTGTGGAATGGATTAATTCAATTTATAATATTTCTTGCGGGGAAAATTTGTTTCAATTTACAAATTTTTGGTTTACGAACCGTCTTTGGGAACAGATTAAATTAAAAAACCAAGGCATCACTGTAACCTGAAAATACTTTAGTTCTTTTTAGTAGATTTGGGTAAATTAGGTATAAAATTTACTTTAAAAGTAAATATTTTGGGGAGTGTGTAACGGATTAATTCAATTTACATTATTTCTTATGGGAAAATTCACTTTGGTTTATGAACTATCTCTGGGAACCAAGGGATAGGGGCAGCTATAGTCCAGCTACGACTGATGGTAACAGACACCATCTTGGAAAGAATCATGGGTAATATTCCTGGGTGTGAGAGCCTCAGTAATGCGTGACCAACCAAGGCTGGCACATGCAGCATGAGCTAGCAGCACTGCTGTTCAGCTTGTGAACACAGCATCGCCTAAATATGTAACAAAATATATGAACCTACTATTATTTAGTGATGAAAGTATTAGAGAAGACCCCTGTGATAAAAATGACAAGGATTCTGATAATGGGATTGTGGTGATAATTAGCACTGTGCTCTGTGATAGGAGTAATTCTGAGGGAGGGAGGTGGTGTCGTCTTCTGACTGTGTGTGGCCATCTTTTATTGTCTGGACTCACCATACCAGCTTAGTGGTTCGCTATGGTAAACAAATGTAGACATATATAACATGTGTATAGTGTGTAATAACAGCAATAGGAGTATGTTGGGAGCAGCCATTTTGGTGAGGGAGGTAGCGTTGTCTGCACGAAATGTCATACTGTGTACTGGTGGCCACTATGCTCTTTGGGAACCATACCAGCTTAGTTGTATAGTTTATGGTGAATATAACATGTAGATGCTTATATATAATGTGTGTATATAGTGTAATAAGACCACAAACATTATTGTTGGTGGCTAGATGTTAGTGCATCTGGCCTTGAACCTGTGAGGGAGGCCGCTGGCAGGGAATTAGGTACAATCTTGCAAGGAATGAGGGTGGTAGCTCTTACATAATCAGATGAAATAATGTGTAAGATTTTAAATGGTCAGTGGATGGTGGCACAAGTGTAAATAACAGGAAAATAAGACAACTTTCCAATGTGAAAAACAAAAACAAAACAATTTTGCTTCAGTAAAATAAAAAGAATAGTGTAATAAATTGAATTGTTTGACAAGACATTAAGAAATGGTAATGTCTTGTCAAAGACATAATAATACAGGATAAAAAAAATGCACTTATGCATTTTATATAAAGATTTGAACAATACCAAGTCATTTGTACTCTTCTGAGTGCACCATCAAGGTCTGAGTATATGGTTTTGAGAAGACTTACATCTTGTCCAAACCATATACCCAGACCTTGATAATGCACTCAGGAGTGAAAAAACTTGGTGTAGTTCAATTCTTTAAATAAAATACTGTACATAAATACATAAGTGCAGTTTTTTAATCCAATATATTTAATAACAGGAAAGCACAAAAAATGATTACAGGTATATTATACTAACTCCAGAAGTGTGAAGAATAAGGCAGATGACCTCAACCCTGGTATATGGTATATATATGTAAAATTTGGACATAGTAGCACTCTTTTTCTTGTTTGTTTTTGAAACATGGTTGAATATTGACTCGCTAAGCTTACTGGTAGAGTACCAGATTAAGGGCTAAATACTCTTTATGTTGTAAACAGATACAAAAAAATGATAGTTGCTATCATTGAAACAGGATCTGAAGTGCATTGTAAAAAATCAAATTACACTCACACAGAAACCATATGGGTAGAAATGAACAAGGTAAATAAACTTAATCAGTCAGTAAGCCAATTTTGGAAGAGATGAAAAAGGCCCCTTGATGCAATAATGTGCATATCTTTGGAGAATTAAACCCAGGTGAAATAGATTGGATAAGAAAAGCAGGTACTGCAGTGACAGTTTGTTACTGAGCCTACCAGAAAATATTTTGAATTTGGTATTGGCATAGAGAGAAAATTAACAATATGGAAATAGGCAACAAACTGGGTAATGGTGATTACAGATAAATCAGATTTAACATAATATGGAAAAGTTGTCAAAGAAAACTCTTAGGGGTGCCAGATTTCCATAAAGTTAATTTTGAGGGATTTCTTGGGAAAAATAGATTGAATGTACCCAAACAGGAAGGTGGGCTACCCCTTGAGACATAACTAAGCTGTCACACAAGGACTCCATGGTGAGGTATGGTGGATACTGTGGGGAAGAGGTGATGTAGTTCGGCAAATAATCTGGGGCCAGATTCACGACGCAGTTACGCAAGTACTGTACTTACGAGCATGTACATCTTTCCTCAATCTTTGACGGCTTTTGTTACATTTATTAAACAGTTTACAAGCATGAATATCTCCCCAATCAAGTGTTGTTATGTTATAAACAGCCTCCTGGTGCTTCGGAGCTCATTAACTGTTTTATAATTGTAAACAAAGCTGCCAAAGATTGAGAAAAGATGTGCAGGTTCTTGCGTAACTGCTTCGTAAATCTAGCCCCTGGTTAGGGTGCGGGCATAAGGTAGGTGGTGTCATAGTTGGGTTATCTTGAGGTTATCTTGAGATGATTTCGGGGCTTTTTAGTGTCCCCGCGGCCCGGTCCTCGACCAGGCCTCCACCCCCAGGAAGCAGCCTGTGACAGCTGACTAACACCCAGGTACCTATTTTACTGCTAGGTAACAGGGGCATAGGGTGAAAGAAACTCTACCCATTGTTTCTCGCCGGAGCCTGGGATCGAACCCAGGACCACAGGCTCACAAGTCCCGCGTGCTGTCCGCTCGGCCGACCGGCTCCCTTATATCGTGCTGTCCGCACCTCGACCGGGTGCGGGCATATGAATGAAGAGGAACTAGCCTAATTGTACTTAGGGGAAATTATCTACTATTCTTTGATCCCACTCTGAACCTCGATCAATTGGTATACTGGTACCCAGCAAAACTAAAGGAGTCATACACACAAAGAAATCACAACAACATGATATACCAAACAAAATCATTGGAGCAGCAGGGCAGGAATTGAACCACTGTCCTGGGTAATCCCAGACACATGCCTTAGCATATTGTGGTCCAAGTGTTAAGTAATGAATATGGGGTTATACCCAGGACATTGGTTTGATCCCGTCATGCCCCAAAGATTTTCTCCTAAAGGAATCTGTGCCTGCTGGAGGTTCTATACACCCGCTGTTGGATTGGTAAGATTATAGGATGAATTGGGCTGAACTGTTCAATGGCTTTCAGGGCACTTCTGTTAGTACTCAAACTGTATGATGGTTGGGATATACCCAATCACAGTCGAGTAGGCCTCTGACGTCATTCCCGATAGAGCTGGTACTGGCCGCTCTGGTGGCAAGGCAGTACCCCACGAGACCAGAATTCGGTAGGACCTCGGCGGACACACGTCATAATATGACATAACTCTTCCAGTGACTGGAATAAATATATTTATGCACCAATAAAATAAGATTTAACTCAGTAATGAAGATAATGGCTTTATCTAGCAGTCGTAGAATCAGAATCATCTCTTGGCAGGTGGCGGAAAATCCCACACCACTCAAGGGTTTGGAGCCATAAATATACACATATACTGAACTTACATGTCATGCAACATATTCATTGAACAGATTTCCTAGTCAAGTATTGGAGACCTGTGATTTTTAAAAAGATGTGAGGGCTCTGCAGAATTTTAGAGGAAGGAGTGAATGATGGTGAAGATGAGGTACAGTATGTCGGTGACATACACACATGAACAGGAAGTCTCACATGAACTCCCTGGGTATCTGAAATTTGTTAGGATAACCAAAAAATTTGATGTGAATAAATGGAGCATCTATTCATGATTAAAAAACTCCAATAAAACTTATACTGTATACTATTAGGAAGGTTGTCTTACTAATACAATGCCCGGATTAGTAATTATGTATTGCAAAATAAAATTACTGCACATGCTTGACCAAAATTGCACTTTTTGTTTGGAATAATATATTCCAAACACAAGCAAATGATGAAAAATATTTACTGGCCAAAACTCAATATGCTTCTAAAAATGCAAGTGAAATTATAATACAAACTTATTATAATAAAAAAAATGTTCTCTCTTATTTACACAGTTAATATTTGAGACCAAATAATATAATATAAAAATATATGCTTATAAAAGATGCATATATTTAAATGCTATTAATACTGTACTTTACTCTATTCACTATCTTCAGAAAATAAATCCTGCATGGCAGCTATAGGCAAGGTAAGGAGAGCATAGCTGAAGAATATATTTGTTCCTGAAGTCAATATACTCTCTGCTCCTGGAGGGAATGCCCAACCAGATGTTTCCATTACAAAACAATTGTCTCGCATTATGTCAGACGAGTCACCCTTCCCTACAATTACAAGGTGTTCATTATTTGCCAATGCTGTAGTTTGAATCTTGGCCTCGTTGGGAACACGAAGCTTAGATAATATTGTCCAACCCATTGGAGAATCACTGAAGAGGGCTTCTGTTCCTGTTACCTTGAGCTGACCTTGTGCACTTGGACATTCAATAGGCCTGGCACCACCAATAACAAAGATGTTTCCACCATGACTAACTGCTGTTGCATAACTTCTTCGTTCTTTGAGCTGAGGTCCCGCAACCCAAATCTGTTAATATCACAAGATGATAGCATATTTTCACATATGGTATACAGCAAATATAAAGAAAAAATATACAAGACGGCAAATACAGTAAACTGTATTTGCCGTAAATGACAGTAAATCTGTAATCTTCTTACAGTAAGTTGCCTCAACTGTATAATTTTAAAGTACTGTACAGTACTGTTGTACAGTTTCACTTAGTCATATGAGATATGTTATCCCATTATTATGATTGCAGAAGGGGAATAGAACAGGGCAAATAACATGTTTCACAGACAAGAGAGGATTCCTATGTAGAATGGATAAACAGATGCCAAGCACAAGAGCTGTTTTTTCTACCAATGTACAGTATATTCCTCATGAAAGTTATTTCCACATACCTCTTCTTTAATGCAAAAGATTTCTACAGCATCTAACACCCTGAAAAATGGACTTCCATCAGGAAGCTCTTGCCATGGAGATCCGCCAATGTAGAAAATTTTTTCATCTGATACAGCTACTGCTGCCCCTCTGCGTACATTGGGTATGGAAGGCAATGTCCTCCATTTATTAGAATAAATGTCAAATTCCTCAAGATTTGACATTTCAAGTTCAACCTAAAATATAAATAATAAATGAATATTCAAGAAGTCAAACCAGAATTTATTTTATTGCATCTCATCAAGAAAGGCACCCAACTCTTGGGTCTCTATGCTAGTCATGTCTTGTAAAAAATATTATAAAGTACAGTATCCTTGTCAATACAAATACCCCACCCTCTTGCTGTACTGTACTTACAATATGTAGTGTAATGTGGACACACTGCACATAAGGGGGAAAAAGGGGAAGGCGTTGGGAAGAGAGAATATGTGTGTGTGTGTGTGCAGGGAATGGTTTAGGAGGGTGAGCACTGGGAAGGAAAGCCATGAAGGTTTGTAAATGTTGGGGTTTAGGTGAGGAATTCTAGGTAAATTTAGAACTACCACATGGGGTGATGTTTTTATTTCTCTGACCACAAGATAGCAGCAGCTACTGGATCCTAACTCCTATTTTGAAAACCAGGTGTCTGATCAAATATTATAGTATTTAGAATCTATTTTTCAAGGCCACTGGGATAAATCTGACAATTGCAGATAATTAATTACTTTTCAGTGAAGATTATGATTCCAACTCATACAGAGAAAGGTTTAATACTGTATGTAGGGGAGATTAAGGCTGAATGGGTTAGTCTGACAACCATATTTCAGTGTTGTTGTTGTTGATTTAGGGGCGACGACGATCGTGGGATCGGATGCGCCCCGGCGTACCCATGATGGGTTAATCGCGAAGCCTGGAAAGGTGGAATGCCAAGCCAAATCCCAAAACGAGTGACGCCAAACACTATAAACTAATATGCCATACGGCAAATAAACGCACAGATGGGCAGATGATTAGGGAGCCCCAGGAGTCCCTCAGGGTGACAAGCACCGGCCCCGCCCCACACAGAGAACACCAGGTAGCAAAACCAAAACTCGGCCCCCAACTAAAACGCAAAAAGTCATCCAGTGTTCCCCGGCAGAGCAAAAGCCGGCCGCCCACCACAGCTGAGGGCACACCAGGAGCTCACTAAGACCCGCCAACCCCCGGCACCTCGCGGCCAAGCCGGCCCCCGAACATTGTCACCCCGCCGGGAGAACCAGCCAGAACATGCCAAAAAAAATCTATCAACAATCCCGTGACCCAAGGCGATACGTGCCAGGCATCGTACAACCAGACCGTTGAATAGGGATACCAAACGGCAGTAGCAAAGCCAAAACGCGAAAACAAGACGTGAACAGGCGGCTCCCAGGCGGAGATGTTCAGACATCCGCTCGGCGTCAAGGTTGAACTAGGAGGCCCATATTTCAGTGTGTACAGACATACCCTTCTCTTGTTTTCTTCTTTGTACCATATTGTACAATGCTGCTTTATTTACACATTAGAAAAGACACAAGGCCAAAAGTGGTGCTTGTGGTGCCAAAAGTTTTTGTGGTTGGCACCACAAAAAAGTGATGCCAAAAGAGCTCCCAAAACTACTCTCCTGACTATGTGCAAGCATGCTACAGCCAGGAAAAATATATATGCTTTTCTGTGACTTTTACATGGAAATTTATCACTTTTAAATTTTTTTTTTTAGCAGCATATGGAGATGAGCTGTGGCTGCCACAGTCACAATGTAGATCAGTGTTTCTCAACTGGGGTTCTACAAGAGAGAGAGTGATAAAAGGGCTAATGTTAATCATATGCAAAAGTTTTTAAGTCATTTTATGTTTAATTTTTCTCATTTAACTAGTATCAAGAGGAAAGACAGAAAATTGTCTCCTTTCATTTGACAATGAAATCCATGTACAGTGGTTATCTTATCTTGAGGTTATCTTGAGATGATTTCGGGGCTTTTAGTGTCCCCGCGGCCCGGTCCTCGACCAGGCCTCAGCCCCCAGGAAGCAGCCCGTGACAGCTGACTAACACCCAGGTACCTATTTTACAGCTAGGGTGAAAGAAACCGGGGCATAGGGTGAAAGAAACTCTGCCCATTGTTTCTCGCCGGCACCCAGGATCGAACCAGGGACCACAGGATCACAAGTCCAGCGTGCTGTCCGCTCGGCCGACCGACTCCCGGTGGTACCTCAGCTTACGAATTTAATCTGTTCCCAGAGATGGTTCGTTAGTTGAAAATTCGTAAACTGAAGCGAATTTCCCCATAGAAATAATGGAAATTGAATTAATCCGTTCCAGACTCCCTAAAAAATTTACTTCAAAGTAAATAATATACTTAATTCACCCAAGTCTTCAGTACTAAAGTATGTACAAGTTATTACTTACCTTTACTGATGACTTTTGTTGGCATATGGAAGATGGTGAGGAGGGGGGAGGAGGAGAGGTGTTACTGTTTGGAAGGGGAGTCCGTCTACTTGCAAGGAAACAAACCCCCTAGTAGAGTACCAATCATGACTTGTGCGGCTAAAACAGCCAGTAGTGTGAAAACCAATATCAGCCACATCTACAAGAGCAAACTGAACGAGAAAGCCCAGGAGATATTCAGGTGATCTACCCATACCCTAAACCAGGGGTGGCGAATCTATGGCATGCGAGCAAATTTTTCCAGCACGTAGCATAAAAAGGAAAACACTATTCAATGCATTAAAGATTTGCCAGCAAGAAGAAACACAGGACTTGAATACTAAAGTTGGAAACTAACATAGCAGAACAGCTAACAAAAGATAATGGTTCATGCAAATTCCTTTTCATTTGTTTTGATGAGAGCATTGATATTTTACTGTAGCTGGGATAGCCATTATTGTTTGAACCACTCTATAAAACGTCTAAATTATTGCAAAAATTAAAATATTTAAATCTGTATTCTCTGGAATGCAGGCAAGAGAGATACATCATAATTTATGCCTGGAAAATATTAGAGGGATTGGTTCCAAATCTGCACATGGTAATAACATGACATGAGACCAGGAGGTATGGCAGAATATGCAAAATAGTCCCATTGAAGAGCAGAGGTGCAATAGGTACATTAAGGTAGAACTCGATCAACATCAAAGGCACAAGACTCTTCAACACTCTTCCTCTACACATAAGAAGCAAAACTAGCTGCCCTCTCATGGTATTCAAGACAGAACTAGATAAACACCTCCACAGGATACCTGATCAACCTGGCTGTGATTCATATGTCAGGCTGCAAGTAGTCGCATCCAACAGCTTGGTTGACCAACCATGAAGCCTGGTCAGAGATCGGGCCACAGGGACGTTGATCCTTGTAATCACCATAAGGTAACCACAAGGTAAAGATTAAGAATTCTACATTCTTTTCTCAAAATGTTTTGATGACAGCCTAAAAATTAATCCACTTCATTGGAATTAACAGGTCTCACTAACCCAAGCTAGATATATGCTCTGACTATGAATAAGCAGGAGCTGACTTTCTTAAGTTACCTTTCAGAAAGTTGGTGATTCCACCAAAATGTCTTAAGGTGCTATGAACTGCACAAGACATTTTATTTCATATTGTCCACAGTTGTCTGTGCGATTTCAACAAGGAAATTGTGTGTGTGAAACTATTAAGGGTGGAGAAGTGCTAAGAGTGGTTGATCAGTTTAAATATAGTACCTGGGATGTGTGATTGACAAAAGAGGAATTTACACAACTGAAGTAAAGTGAATCAAGATAGGAAAATGGCTGGTGCAATGAAAGCCTGGTTAAAAAGAAGAACAAGACAAAGAGATGCAGCCAGAGGCCTGAGTGAATTAGTTATTGCCTATCATTAAGTATGGATGCCAGATGCTGCTATGGTTTGAATGTGAAAACTCAAGAAATGGAGCAATTGAAGGACAGGCTGAGAGATGTGGTATTAGAACTGAGTAAGAAAATTAAATCAAGAATGACAAGGAGTGCAAGTCAGTAAATTGAAAGAATAAATTAAATGCATGGATAATAAAGATTGTTGAAGTGATCATTCAAGCAAATTTGAGGACAGAAGGAGAGGATGGCTGAGATGGGAAGACATGACGAGTGTGTGAGGAAGTGGGGATTGATAGTGAACACTACACAGGATGCAGTAGGTAGCAAGACTAGGTGCCACGAATTTGTTGAAGGAGTATTGTGTTATATACATAAAAAACTCATGAGCATTTTACACCTAGCCTAGTGGATAATTTGCTGAAGTATGGTGGTACAGTTCTCAGCAATGCTCTGTAATATGTAAGTTACAGTGAATGACCTAGAATTTTTTTGTAATACTGAAATTTAAACCTTCTAATCATAAGCTGTACTGTTCTCCCATTTTTCTTTCAGACTGATGCCTCCATACTCCATGGTGGTAAAGTGTAATAATAAAGACGAATTGCCAATTAACTTACTTCGTTGTTATAGCCCCCTAAAACATATAGTTTTCCAGCATGTGCTACAATCCGTGGAGAACAACAGGCAAAGGGCATTGGAGACATCAGAGTCCAGCTGTTAGTTACAGGATCATATTTCTGGACATCATTCTGTAGCACTCTGTCTGTACTAATTCCACCCAGAGCAAATAGGTATCCACCTAGAAGGTAAAATTATTTTTAAGTAAATTATCATTTTTCCTTTTATCTACAACTATATTCATCAATAAAACATATATTTTAGCTATGGTCTCAGGCACATACAAGGAAATAAAGATAAGCATATATTTAAGCACTATAAAACAAAGTAGATATAAATCTGTTACAAAACACCAGCGTTGAATGTAATGAAACGCCATCTTCTGGGTAGAGCCCAGAGGCTCCCTGGAGCTATTGGACTGATATTACCTAATATTAGTATGGGACTTCAGTCATATGGAGTTGTCAAGCCTACCGGGCACCACTAGCCAGAACATGGTCACCTCAGAGAGGAGCAAGGAGCAATGGCCTATGAAACTCGTGTATGAAAGAATTCATGTCTGCCATCAACTGGGGTTGAACACCCAGAAAGGTAGGTGCCCCAAAACAGACCCCCCTCCTGGTAGAAAAATTGCAACCTAAGACCGAATAGAGGCTAGAAACTTCCCCAAGGAAAACAGCTAACAAGCAACACGTCATCACACAGTGTGCCGACCTCCCCTCCCACACCCTACAGGGAGGGAAGAAGGGGAAGAGGGGGGGGGGGTCCCGGCCCACTGAGCCAGCAGCCGGACCATCAGGTTCATGACTGAAAACCGAAACAAAAACCGAGGGAGGGGGGGAGGGGGGGGGAGAGGGAGCCAGGTAGCCTCCGGGACTTTACCCAGAAAATGGCGTTTCATTATATTTAATGCTGGTTATCTGTGCGGAAGCCCCGTAAGCTCCCTGCAGCTAACTACCTAAAGAGCAGGAAAACAGGGACTTACTCAGGAGGCAGTTGCATAGCATAACTCATAACAAAAACAAGACAACTGGCTGCAACCACCAACTCAAGGCGACACAAGACCACTGAGGGCCCGGCACATTAACAAGATAACAAGATTCACTTAATAATTTTTAGTGATAGGCCCTGATTGTTTGGGATTATGTGTGATTTGAATTAGTTAAATTATAGAGCATTAATAGATAGGCTGAGTTATGAAGGAGGAAAATTATCTGGCAGTCTTATACAGTAGAACCTCGGGTGATGGCCGCCTCAAATGGCGACCATTTTGGGTAACGAACGCCCCAATCGCCGACAATTCATCTCGTTAGGCGACCGCTCGTTTGAATAATGTCAACACCACATGGTGGGGTCGGGGACTGCTTCTCGCACATTCTCAGACACCTCCGACGATGTAAATAAATTATTTTTCTTTGTTTAAAGATGCTATTGATGCTGGGATGTTGTAAAGCATTGATTTCATTTTTTTTTCATTTTTTTTTATAAGAAACATGGAGCAGTATAACTGACAAACACCAAACGAACCTTTTGCTATACAAAAAATGAAAAAAAAAATTGAACAAATTTGAAGAAAGAAAAATGCCATAAAGGTTTGTTCAGTGTATGTAAGGTAGACTGCTCCATTATTTAAAACATCGAATATCATGTTGATGATAGTGGTGGTAGAACGAATTATTTCTATTTACATTCTTTTCAATCGGGACTTTCATTTTGAATGACTTCGGTTTCACATAACGACCATGGCGCCGGAACGGATTAAAGTCGTTATTCGAGGTTCCACTGTGCTTATATTCAAGAGGGCTTGAGACCTCAGCTTGGAAAATGGCAGTCCCGTTTTCCTGCCAGACATAGGAACATCTTGATGCTCACAGAACTGGTATACTCTGTGATAATTGAATGTTAGCGTAATGTAAAGCTAAATGTTAGTTATACTTAGAACTGATTAGTAGCAAGTAAATATTTGTATTGAAGAATAAGTAATGTTACTGTACGATCAGTTTAATGATTCAGACAGTGGCCACATTGTGTTGAAGAAGCTCTTCTCGACTCAACTGAGCTACAGTGCAGACATAAGTGCTGTGGGCTCTCCTTTCTTTCCTCCTTCGTTCTCCTTTCTCCTTATTCTTTAAATAACAAGTATCAATATATTTGTTACCGTGCCATTAGTTGTTCTAAGTGTATTTGTTCTGTGTTCACTAAGTCAGTGTTTGAGCCCCAGTGTTTACCTCTCTGGGATAGCCTAGGGACCACGTGTTGATGTTATTAAGTGTTGTGTTCTGTCCCTTGGGGAACGTAGACTTTACCTCTAGTTTGCTGATTGTAACCCTCGTCTCTGGCGTATGTGGATTCAGGGAAATAAAGTAAGATTGAGGGGGTAAGGTATTGTTGAACTTGGGGGGGGGGGATTAGGATTAATAAATTATATATTAAGGTTTTAACCTGGAGTTTCCATTGCCCTTGCTGTAGTGGAGTAAGTTATCTCTTTCTAGACGTCAGACCATATATGGATATTTATACTTGTCTGGGAACTGTTTTTACCTGGGGGGCCAAGCCTTACCTAACCCCACTGATTGGAACTCCCTTACATTGATATTAACCAAACAGAGCAAGCACTCGTTTATAACACAACCAAGCATTAATAACCCAAAGACCCCTCCAGAAACCCTATGTCTCGTTCTTCGCCAGAAAAAAAGGAAACAGCTGCAACCAAAGAAACCGACCACGAGGACCGAAAGAGTAGAAACCTCTGCGCCTGAGGAGAGATGAAGCTCACCGATCCGACCCCCAGAGGTCAATGCCAACAGAAACGAAGCCTTCTGAAAGCAATCCTGAACCAAAGGGGTCACGACAAACCAAAGAGAAGAGAGAAAAGAGAGCACCCAGTCCAAGAACCAGGAGGGCTCAGGCAGTGCATGAGCAGGCCAGAGGCGAAACAAAGCACGAGAAAGATTACGGAATGGGATGGAAGTGACATCCACCCCGAATGCAAGCTGGAGTGGTTCCGCCAGTGCTGCAAGATAAGAGGCGACAGTATTAGGCATAAGATGACTGTCCTGAAGGAGCCAAGAAAGAAAGGACAAAAACAACCCGAACAGAAACAGAAGACAACCTATGAAGTGAGAGGAAATGGTGAAAAGAACGCCAAGAGACTTCATACTGTGGCCGAGACGAACACCGCAGGTGGGATACCATCGATGAAGCCACCTGATCACCAAACAAGTAGTGATACACCCGCATCAAAAAGACCAGAAGCGAAGAGAGGAGGAGTAGATTGTACTACACTGGCCCGATCTGCTAGAAAAGGCAGAGCCCCGCAAAACGCCCAGGGTTCAGACACCGAGCAAGCAGCGCCTAAAACCAAGGCTGGGCCGGCCACCATGGGGCCACAAGGATGATTTTCCAGCGGTAAGACACCAAATGAACCAGAATCCGAAGCAACAGCTGGACTGGGGGAAAGGAGATACAGGTAAGCCCACCTCGACCTGTCCTGCCAAAAAGCGTCCACCGCGATGGCTCCGCAGTTGGAGAAGGGTGCCAAATATATCAAGAGATGCCGGGACAATGCCGCCGCGAAAGGTCCACCTCTGGGAGCTCAAATGTCCGGCAGAGCCAACTGAAGGAGTCGGCGTTGACCATCTATTCCGCGGACAGGGAAAGGAACTGCGACAGGCCGTCCGCGAGGACATTAGACACTTCCCGGAAGTGAACCGCACGGAGAGCTAAGCCCCAAGAATCCAGCAGACTTGTCACCCGAAGCCACCAGCCCCAAAGAGGCAAGGACAGATGAGAATCCCCACGGTTCAGACAATGAACCACCGGAGCGCAGTCTGAATGGAGCCTAATCGTAGAGCCGAGCGACCTGAACCCTCTTCAGTGAAATCGAACGCCCCAAACTCTTGCACCGTACTGTGAGCCTGACGGAAAGATGGAGCCCACCACCCATGGCCAGCCTGATGAGGACTGGTCACAAAGTCCCAGAAGAGACGAGGCGTCTGTGAACACATTGAGCGAGGGCTCGGGAAGGCGCGAAGGCACTGAACCTAAAAAAAAAAGCAAAGAGGAAAGTAGTGCTGCAGCAACCAACACTAAGCCCACTGGGGTCGAACCCAGTGGTTGCAAGAGAGGCGGAAGGGACATCCCCGAAGGTAAACTAGCACTGCGAATTTCAAACTCCCACACAACTGCTCGAGCAACTGCAGAGCGATCCAGGCTCCCCCCCCCCCCACAGGAACAGCTGAAGATGGGACTACAGCCACAGCAGGAGGGAGAGACACGGAAATGGTCCAAGAGTCCCCACACAAGGACCGACCATGTTTGAACCTGGAACAGAACCAGATGTCCCATCTGGTTCCTCCAGTTCACCAGAAACCCGAACCCGGCGAGCTGGGAAAGAACCACACCCCTGGCGAACAAGCAAGCAGACCGGCTGGAGCCCACACAAACCAGTCGTCAAGATAGGCCAGAACCTGAACCCCTGGCAGACACAGACGGGTCACCACGACCCAGGTAAGACATGGAAAACACGATGTGCCAGATTAAAGCCAAAAGGAAGGCAACAAATGCTGTAAGCACACCGCTCCACGATGAAATCTAACCATTCCCTGAACCCTGGATGAATCGCAACATGCCAATACGTGTCCTGGAGGTCCAGACACCATCCAACACTCTGGCTCCAAAAGAAATTGAACCTGGGACAGAGTAGCCATCCGAAAAGAGGAGCGAGGAATCCAGGAGTTCAGATGGGACAAGTTCAGAATGAATCGAAGATCCGCACAGTCCCTTTTTTGGTACTGAAAACAGGCAGGGTAACCACCTTAGGGACGAGATCATTTCGATCACGACCAAGCACACCCTCTCCAAGATGATCTAATGGAGCAAAGGGGAAGAGGCCTGCCCCACCAGCCCCGAACCCCCTGAAGGAGGAGGAGGAGGAGCTGCTTAATGCCACTGCAGGCCGGAGAATACGACCCAAAAAGCACATGCATTGTGGGACCAAGCGTGGGCAAACAGAGCCAGCCCCTCCCCCCCCAGTGCCCCCTCAGAGAGGCACAGGGAGCAATGGCCTATAGAAACCCCCCATGTGTTTGGGAGCATTCCATGTCTGCCATTGACTGGGGTTAGGCCCCAGAAAAGATAGGCATAACAAAACAGACCCCACTTGGTAAGAAATTGAACCAAAGACCAAACAGAGAGGCAGAACTACCCAAAACTTAAATTAACAAGCAAACGTTATACACCCCCACCACACTGCTTGTCCGCGCAGCCCTCTCCTCTCTGGTAGGGGGAAGGGAAGCCCCGGACCCCCCGTGCTGGCTACTCACACCATCAGTTCGTAAGCTGATGCATTCTGGGGAGGTCGTCAACTCTGGCCTCGATTTCTTGGCAGATTTTGTGCCTTTGTGGTGTTTCCTGCTTCTTGTGGTGTGGTACCCAGGAGTAACTACAATGTACTAGGGCTGTATGCACTTACCTTCCCTAGGCACCCTGTAAGTACTATCCTTCCATAGAATCTTTGGGATTCCATTTCCATAGGGGTTTATGCTGTTCGGCATTTACCTCGTCCCTTGGGGCCAGCTGGGATTTTGTGACCTTTGTTTGGCCTTGGGTAGGAAGTGGTGTTGTTGCTAGTTGGGGCACAAGGTACTGCGCTGCTCGCTTACCTATGCGGCGGCCGTGTTCCTGTCCTTCTGGTGGGGTTGTACTTTTGCAGAGATTTTCTTTAATTTTTGTTTTTCTTGCCAGGAGGGGATTTGTTTTGTTTGGCAATTAGTCCACATAGGGGTATATTGGTGGCCCTCCTCCTGGCCCCCTTGCTTGTACACATCACAGGGGTTCAGTTATTAGCTCGTCCCCCTTTGTTAGCATTTGGGTTCAACCGGCTAACAGTACCTTGCCTGGGCTTCCCGTAGAAGACATTCCTACATGCCCTGGAAAACCCTGTTGGGGCTTGGTTGAGCGATGGACGTGTCTTCCGAGTTCCACCTTGCCTTGTGTGAATTTAAAGGTTGTTCTGTACCCTTGTCTCAGGGTGTCACCTGTTTTGCCTCCGTCTTCTGCCTGTTGGGTCAACGACACCTTCGACCCGGAGTCTTGCGAGACATATTCTCTGTTCGTGCTCCAGTTTACCCATTCTATTGTCACTGAGGTTTGGGTTCAGGAGGCATCCACATTGCATGGCCCGGTTTATGTTGCTGGAACGCACTAGGTTGGTTGCCCTCTCAGATGCAGCAGGGCTGCCTCGTTTTGGTTATAAGGACCCAGACTTGGAGGCGTTTGTCGCTTCGACTTTGGTTCCATTGGCTTGAGACCTCAGCTTGGAAAATGGCAGTCCTGTTCTGATGCCAGACGTTGGAACATGTTGAATGCTCGGTTTATGTTGCTGGAATGCCCCGTTTCAGGCTGAGTACAATACACCACACAAGAAAGGAGAGCTTTTCCAAAGTTGAACACAGCAAAGCAGAGATGTAAACAATCTGGACAATACCACAGTGTCTGGAAGAAGAGAGAAAAAAACCAACAGAGAAACAATTCCTAGAAGTGAACACAGCTTAACAAATCACAGAAAACCTCTACTGGGAGGTCCAAATCCTGGAACCAAACAGGAAAGCAAGAGCAAACTTTAAGGACCAGGACCATGTCTAAAGAGAGGGGACAAAGGTAAGAGGGACCCTGACATGATGTCATCAAACCCCTTAATATAGGCAAGGTACGTGCACCCAGTGCCCACAAAACAGCAAGGATTTCCTGGCAAACAAAGGAGACACCTCCTGTCCAGTGGTGACAAAAACAAACCTGGCAGAAAACAGACATGTCTCACCCACAGAAACAGGAAAAAGACTTACTACAATAAATTGGGGACTAGAAACTGCAGCAAAACAAAGTCAGAAGACTCACCTCAGAAAGAGACGGGCACAGACCAACCCCCACAAAAGTGATAAGACAAGGCAAATTTAGGAGAAAGGAGACTGGACAGGAATGTGCAAGGAAAATGGAACATCAATCCAGAGAAAAGGGAGTCACATGGATGGGGAACCTCACATCTCCAGAGAACAAATTGAATTGCAAGGTTAACAGAAAAAGAAGCCTAGACAGATACCCACTGCCTCCACAGGGGAAGAAGGAATGAGTCCTAATATGGAACCAGACCAATAACAAGACAAGGAAAATCTGGAATGCCCACCGAAAGAGCATCCAACACTCCCACGGAAGGAAGAAGCAGAAATCTTCCACTAAGGAAAGGGGCCTGAAGGCATAAAAAATGATCTCATGTCTCCAGACAATATCCCATGAGGAACACAACCCCAATGCCAGCCTCCAGCCCTGGAGCACATGTGCCCACATGGTACCACCAAGGCTGACCAAAGGCTGCAAGCAACAGGGAACTCCAGAAAGATCAATATGTTGGGATATGGTGGGGAAGGGGCTATATATTTTAATTATATCCCACAACAAATATGATTTGATTTGCACAAAATAATTGTCAAATGCTAGGCAATGAATTTATTATTACTCATTTTTAAAACAATGATTTAAGGCTGAAATTATCAGGCTAACTTAAATCTAAGTAGAGTGCTGTATTATATATAAGCAAGTCTGTTAAGTATTTGTACATTTAATAAGGTTTGGACTATTAACTGAGATAATGTAATTCATCTACAAAGTCTCACCTTCAACAACAAGTGCTGGCTTTATCCTTGGGAAGCACATTGGTGGCAATCGGACATGAGCTCCTGCGTGTTTTCCCGAGCCGAGAATATCCACCAAGTAAATATTAGTGTTACCATCACAACATGCAAGTACTGTCTTCATTCCTCTCTCTCTAATGGATCGAATTCTCCGTGTCTTTTTAAGAGCATCTAATACCCTTGATGCCCCAGGAGAGTCCCAAGGAGGATTACCGGCTCGAATATCTTGTAAAGCTCGTTGAAATTTTGGATCATACTTCAAATCTGAAGACTCTCGTAAGCAACTAGTAACCAGAGATCTGCAAAATATCACTTAATGTATTATGATTTGTCAGGATAATTCAGTGCTGTATTAGCAAAAGAATTTCAAGTTAACTTTTTTAGCCATTTTCACTGACAGAAAATGTCACTAAATTATACAGTACAGCACTTGTGAAATATGTTAATATTAATTATATTAGTATCGGTGGAATTAGCCTATTTTTTACTCGTGCTTTTTGATGGTATGGTGCTCTTACCTAAAACCAAATGAACCCTGTTCCGGCAGTTTCTGTGGTCATGGATACACGAGATTCAATGGTCATAAGGTCAAAAGGTTCAGTGGTTACATTTATTAAACCAAGGTGGTTACACAGTCGTTTCTGTGGTCGCAATTATACTGAGGTTCACAATTATACAAGTTTCTGGGGTCATAATTACATGAGTTTTAAGTGTCATTACTATATGAGGGTCAACAAAGTGGAATAATGTTCAATAGTTGAGCTGAGACCAGCTGGTGACAACTGAGCTGGCCTCGGTGGCCAATAATTTAAGTAAAATTTATTTAAATTTTGTAACATTAAATGAAAATACTACTTTTTATGGGATACATAATAAATGAATTAAACTAACAGTAAAATTCTGATATTACTGTGAACAATATATCTAAATGCAGATGATGAGTCACAATAATATGGCTGAAGATATGATGACCAAACCACACATCAGAAGATGAAGAAACGACGACATTTTGGTCCATCCTGAACCATTATCAAGTGGCGAGTTGATAATGGTCCAGGACGGATACACACGACTTGATAATGGTTCACGATGGACCGAAACATCATTGTTTCTTCATCTTCTGATGTGTGGTTTGGTCATCAATTTATCTGAAGTTTTCAAAGCCATTAACATTAAAAGAGTAAAAGGTACTATACATTTCATGACTTACTCAACATCCGGAGTCTCAGCTAAGTTGGAATTGAGCCATACTACAAGAGCAGTAAGTATATCCACTTCTGATTTGACTGTTAGTCCATCCTGTGACAAGAGGTCTTTCAAGCGCTCCTCACTCAGATTGCGAAATTCATCAGTTCGTACAATTTGCCTGAAATGTAAAAAAAACCAGCGTTGAATGTAATGAACACCATTTTCTGGGTGAGACCCAGTGGATCCCTTAGGGCTATCCAGGCTGATATGAATGTATTAGACCCTGGCATCAGTCAAAGAGAATAGGGTTCTACCTACCAGGGACCACGAGCAAGAACCTGGCCCCCTCAGAGAAGCGTAAGGAGCAATGGCCTATAGAAACCCCCGTGAGGTTGGAAGCATTCTATGTTCTGCCATCGACTGGGTCAGGCACCCAAAAAGGTAAGCATTCCAAAACAAACCCCTATTCTGGTGAAAATTGCTACCTAAGCCGAACTAGTGAATAGAACTCTTCAACAGAAAACACGGAAACTAGTATGACGTCATACGTCACCGCGCCGCTGTCTGCGCAGCTCCCCCCTCCCCGGGAGGGGAAGGGGAGCCCCAGACCTCCCACGCCGGCTATCCACCCATCAGTTCTGAGGCTGGATGTCAAAACACGCGAAAAACGCCGACCGGAGGGAGGGAGGGTTGCCGGGGAGCCTCCGGGTCTCACCCAGAAAATGGCGTTTCATTACATTCAACGCTGGTTTTCTGGGGGGAGCCCCGTCGGCTCCCCGGAGCTAACTACCCACAGAGGAAGGTCAAAGGGACAAAACCGGGAGGCGGACACCACGCACCCCCCAAGGAGGCGAGACAACCGGCAGCAAACGCCAACCCAAGGCGCCACAGCCCCGAAAATCCCGGGAACAACACGAGAACCACGAGCAGCAAGGCCCCTGCACGAACACCAAAAATCCATGCCCGAAAGACTGCAAGGCCACGTCGCCCAGACGGCAGCGAGAGCAGCGAAGCCACGAACGCCACAGGCATGAGGGAAGAACACAGGCAGCTTAGCCGCAAGAACACGGCTGACCACCCGGGACACCATCACCCGCGAACCGGGAAGAACAGAACCGGATCAACGCAAAACGCGCTCCGGACCCAAACGCCGTGGCACGCAAACAACAGCAGAGGGCCGCCACTGAACACAAAAACGACACACCCCCGGCCCGACCAACAAAGCACCAACAAACCCTGGACCCCTCCAGAATGCAGCAGCCCCACCCCGCGCCAGAAAAGATGGAGACTGCTGCCATCAAACAACCAAAACGCTAAAACCGAAGGAGCAAGAAAACACAGCGAACCGACCCCCAGAGGCAAAGGCCCAAAGGAAAGAGCCGACGAAAAAACACACCGGAACCGAAGGGGCACTACCAACCGAGGAGAAGACAGAGCACGCTGACCAGAGACCAGGATGGTGCAAGCGGCGCACGAACAGGCCGGAGGTGAAATGACGCACAAGACAGCTGACTAACGGTGCAGAAGCAACACCAAGACCGAAAGCAAGCTGAAGCGGCTCCGCCTGCGCCGCACGAAAAGAGGCGACAGTATGTGGCAAGACGACGGCCCCCAACCCCCACTAGAAAACCAAGCCGAGAGTAAACCAAGCCAACAAGAAGGACCCACCGAAGAAGGGACAGGAAAAGGAAGGACCGCCAAAATACCCCATACTGCCGCCAAGAAAGCACGCAGGTGGGACACCTACCACGAAGCCACCCGACCACCAACCGGAGGCGAGACCACGAGGCAGAACATAAGCAGCCCCGACAAGGCCCCCCCGAGCCCAGGAAAAAGGCGGAGCCGCGAGAAGATCTCGGGCGCGACCACCGAAACCCAGGCGGCACAAGGAGATGGAACGTCTGCCGAACAGAAAAACTCCGAAGCATGCAAGCCCGCCAGGAGTTCAGAAACGACGGGTCCGACGCGAGACATCGCAAGAACCCCCCAAAAAAATAAAACAACAACAACCGGCAGGGCAAGCTAGGAAAACCAAAGAAGGCGGAAGGGTCGCCGCCAGAACAGGACCCGAACCAAGGGGCACGAACAACTGCAACAGACCGAGACAAAGAAGCACATCACAGGACACAGGCTGACCAACGCCTAAGAACACACGCAGAACATTCCTGCTGCAGAAGAGGCAGGAAGAAAGAGCAGAAGCACAAAAAAAAAAAAAACCAGGAGAACAACCAGGGGTGGACAATCAGGCAGGGACAAAAACCCCACGCAATCCCCAGGCACAAAACGGCAGCAAAGCGCCACTCCACAACCGGACACAGGAACAAGGACACGCCACCGTGAAACACGGTACCAATGCTCACGTGCAGCAGCAGCAGCAACAGGCACCACTGCAACATGCAACATGTAAATAGCAACTCCCCTCTGCAAAGGCAGAGAACGGAGCAGGCAGACCCCAGACAGGGCCAACGGAGACACGACAAAACCCTGCAGGCCCAGAAACCTGCACCAGGCGACCGACGGCGGAGAAACCCGCTCGATACCTGCTGGATGAGGTACTGGGAGCTCTTTTACACCTCAAGCCCGGCCCAAGGTCAGGCCAGACCGGCCAGAGGATGGCCCACCAGGCAGCTGCTAGGAGCAGTCCACCGGCCCACATACCCCCACAACCAGGACGGGCCGGAACTGCCATACGAAAACAGGCCAGTGCGCCCTGGAAGTCCACGGACGAACCAGCAAGAAGGCTATGCTCGCAAGTAGGTCGTGTAACAAGCACAGACCACTGATAGTAATACAGTGTTCCCCAAAAGTGCCAATAGCACCACTGCACTCCACTGGTACTATCCCGCAAGTTCTACCAGATAGGCGGGACCCAAGAGCCAGAGCTCAAATCCTGCAAGCACAGCCAGGAGCCTCACCAGGTGAGTACAGAACCAACCCTACAACCCCCACACCTCACAACATTAAAAAAGGAGGGTCCCCTGAACGACTCCAGCATGGGTTGGACATGCACATGAGGGGGACAGGAAGGGGTGATAAAGGGACAGTCACTGGTGTGCGAACGGTCTCAGTCGTACAAAATTATACCTAAATAAAGACAGGTATATGAACACCGCCGCATCCAGCGCCCGGCCAAAAGACGCCAGACCGCAGAAACTCACCTGGCGAATGGTGGCTCGAACTTGACACGACTCAACCGTGCCCAGAAGAACTTGGGAGCACCGCCAGGTGAAGACGCCAGAGCCGGACCCGCAGGAGAACAGGGAGAGGCGAAGGAGGCGGTCCACACCCATGACACAGAAAACCGCGGTGTCCTCCCCACAACTGGGAACCAGGACACCCCTGGCGCAAAGGGGCACATACCGCAGCCAGGGAGAAGAACGAGAGGCGAAGCACTGTAGCAAAAAAGGGCGCAAAACCCCAGCACTGAACCATCGCCCAGACCAAAACAAACTCCACGGCGCATGCGCATAACACGCTGGCCGAACCGCACACCCTCCCTGCGGGAAGGCGCCAGCCAGGACTATTGCACGAGAAAAAGAGCCAAAAGAGGAAGCAGGAACAATAAAACCGGCCAAAGAAGCAAAGAGCCCAAAAAAAAGGGAACCCAAACGGGCGACAAGTAGCCCAAACGGGCGACAAGTAGCCCAAACGGCCGACAAGTAGCCCAACCGGGCGACAAGTAGCCCAACAGGGCGACAAGTAGCCCAACAGGGCGACAAGTAGCCCAACAGGGCGACAAGTACTAGGAGCCGACAGACGTTCCAATAATGCGGGAAGTAGCGAAAAACCTTCCCGTACCCTCGAGAACACAGAAGCCAACACTAGTCCCGAAGGCACACGAAGGCGCAGGCGCACCCGAGATCAAAAGTCACGCAGAACCCCATCGAACGGGGAAACATGACAAAAACACCGTCCCAAAAAGCGGGGGAGGAAACATCCACCCACAGGACGGAACCAACCGACTCAAAGGCCAAGGAACCGAGCCCGGGGAGGGGCCGACGTCCAACAGCACGTACGGCGAGTGGGGAGGAAAGACCCCACTCCGCGTAACCACAAGCCCCGCCTAGAGGGGGATAAAACCCCCCACGGGGTCTAACGGGGCCAAGGCCCCCCCAAGTCAGCCCCTCCCCAGCCCCGGGAACCTACACGACAGGCCCCGGGGCCGAGCCGTTCCCCCAAAGCCCCGGCCGTACCAGAAAACCGGGGCAGCCGTGAAAACACTAAGGAAGGGAGCCCACTGGCAGACTCATACAACACGGCTGGAGGAACAGGCCCAAATGCCCCCGTCACTACCCCGGAAGGGGAATTCCCCGAGACTGCCCGAGTCTCAACACCACCAAACACCCCGCCCGAACCTACAGACGGTAAGGAACCGGATGCAGGCAGGAAGGGTGAACCAGGGGAAAGACAAGGGGGCGTGGATGGAACCGAAGCAACCAACACCCCCAAGTCCCAAAACGAAATACAACGGGGCAGCCCCGGGGCTCCCGGGGAGGAAACCACGAGAACGTTGCCACCACCAAGGCTCAAGTGCAACGCCCCTGCTGCCCGCACCCGCTTTGTTAGCACAACTGGGTAACCGAGCCACAACGAGCAACCAAACTCGCAGGACACCGGGTCGAAGGTGTCACCGACCCCACAGGCAGCAGACGGAGGCAAAACAGAGTCACCCAGAGACAAAAGGTGAGAGCAACCCTCAAACTCGCTGGAAGCGAGGGGGGGGCTCTGGGGTCACATCCATCGGACCCGCGCGCCCCCAGGGGTTTCCCAGGGTCCCGAGCGTTTACTTTAAGAGGACTCGCGCTCAGGTAATCCCAGGCAGGGTACTGCTAACCGGCACCCAAGCTACCAAACAACTTTCTAAGAGCTGAACCCCCGGGACGTGTACACTCACGGGGACCTAGCAGGGGGTACCACCAGAAATACTCAGAACACAAGGGACACAAGGGGCAAGAACGAAGGCAGACCCCCCCACCAGGTATATAAACAAAAGAAAAAGAAAACCCCGCAAGAGGACAGCGTACCCAAGCGGAACAGAGCCGGCCGCTATGATTGGTAAAGACAAGCTGCACAGTACCCCGCGCCCCACCAGTGCAAACACTGCCCCTTACTCTAAGGCGAACAAGGGAGACAGAACACCCGAGCACACAAAGAGCGGCCGAAAACCAAGCGGTAAAC